AGAGGCTGAATCTGAAATCTATATCTGAGAGAATCCAGATTCTGCATGTACGCAGCTGTATCTACGCCTCCCATGCTGATTTTGACAGAGAATCTATGCTATGGCTGTGTTCTCATGTGTATTATCTTATTAATACATTTATTCTATTAATTCAAAACAGAAACCTTATATTTGTATTCAGCATTTCTGATGCGATTGTAATGTTAAATCAATAAAATGTTTTATTTGCTTTCAATAATAACACAAGTGTTCAGTAACATAACTACATGTTCATACATCAGTAATATAGGCCTATATCTGTTTCAATGCAAAGTTGTGGTCCATGCTGATGGGTATTATTAAACCGCTAAAAAAGGTTGTCTGATCTCATACAGAATAAGAACGTTTTACAAATCACATGTCAACTATGCCAATATTTCTATCCAATCAGAGCGTGGAGATGCCCATGTTAGACCAGGGTACAGAGATCTTCAAGACCCTGCAGCACCTCAGCACCCTGATCCAGAGTCTGAAGAACCCTCTGGGGACCCGGGACAACCCAGCACGCATCTGCAGAGACCTGTACAACTGTGAGCAGAGGCTGCACGATGGTGAGGGGACCCTTTAAACTGCTTAGTCATTCCTGCACACATTTATATTCTCCTCTCATTATTTAAGTTGTTTCCTCCTCTGCTGCTCTCTGACAGGCACTTACTGGATCGACCCCAACCTGGGCTGCGCTGCGGACACTATAGAGGTGATGTGCAACTTCACAGCTGGAGGACAGACCTGCCTGAAACCGTTCACTGTGTCCAAGGTGTGGATCCTTTCAGAGTTCAGCCATTTGCTTCAGATAAACATGACACCCAGTATAATGTAAAGGTGTATTACGTAAATGAAGACAAGATCAATTTGGGAGCTTTTCATGCAGGAAGTGGATGATTGTGTAAATGATGAATGCTTGTGTGGACACAGAATGTTCTCAAAGAAAATAAGAGAATAGTTTAATGTGATATAATAAGGTGCACAGCTGGTCATTTTCTGACAATGTACACTGTAGCTCTTTTGTAAAAGAGAATTATTGCAATGAAAGGCAAGCCCTGCTGGCAAAAAACTTCATCTCTCCTTTTATTGTTTTTGATTTTGAGATTTACCTAAGATTCAAACTGAATAAAACATCACAGCACAGAAATGCAGACTGACTCAATGCCTGCATGAACTGTTTACAAATCAAATAATAAGGTCACAATCTGTGATCCAGATGTAACGTTTTGTAATTCAATACACAATTGTAGTTGTATTATATAGTTTGTCTGGATTTTTTTTTTTAAGATGGGCCTGTTTTTCCAAACTATGATTACTTCAGAGACACCAATTCTTGCTTTACAGTTGGAGACAGGAGTGGGTCGTATCCAGATGAACTTCATCCACCTCTTGAGCACAGAGGCGGTGCAGCACATCACCATCCACTGCCTGAACACTCCTGTGTGGGCAGCAGGACCCTCACTGCAACCCTCCTCCAGATCTGTGAGCTTCAAGGCCTGGACGGGGGAGAAGATTCAGGCCGGGGACCTTCTAGAGCCGCTCATACCCAGGGACGACTGCTGGGTGAGCACTGATTTCAACATTTTGAGAAGATAAACATTCTGCCATTCTTGCTGAGGGTTAGATGAGAAGCTCTATACCAGATCAGTCAAACAAAGTCCTGAGTTTCCATAGATCAGCGGCTGGAATATGTATTATTTCACAGAGATGCGTACATGTGCACAATACGAGCAAAACATGGACCATATGTAGAGAAACTGCTCCTTGAAGCCACTTCAAGAAGTCAGAAACTCCACAGGGAACCGGTTAAGAATGGAGCTTTAACCAGTGGGCGATTAGCTTAGCATAAAGACTAAAAGCCATGGAAAACAGCTAGCCTAGGCTCTGTCTAGAATCTCCAAAATCTGCCTTCCAGCACACCTTAAACTCCTGACCATGTATCCTGATTGTTTCATTCATACAACGTTTTTTTTGGATATAACAAAACAGTTTTCATGAGGAGTTAAGTCCATGTTTGTTTTCAAATCAAATCAAGTTTTATTTATATAGCACATTTATAAACGATTTTTGGTGGAGCCAAAGTGCTGTACATATAATAAAAATAGCCTACAGTAGAGACACTTTACAGCAAATACAACAGCACAGATTGTTCAGAATATCAGTATGAGAAAAACGACACCCTCTATCCTTAGACCCTCACATCGTACAAGGAAATCGTTTTGCTAAGCTAGATAGAGACATTGTGTATTCTGGCAAGAAGTCTAAAAGTCTAACAGGCCAGAATACAGTACAAAACCAAAACATCATTTTTATATGTGATTGTGCCTTGATTAAACAATTGTGAAACAGTAACTGTCAACTATGTATTTAAATTCAGCATCAACTTTTGAGTGAACCTTACAAGCTGTTTCTCTGCCTTTAGCCTTTATGCCAACATTGCTAGTCATATTCTTGTGCTAGCTCCATACATGCCCCAAAGAAAGCATTTCTTCACACTAACTTTTTTGAACAAGCCCTGCAGAGGGTTCTGTTTGTTGTCATAGGCGGCGCGTGAGGCTCAGGTTTGGGAAGGCTAAATCACTTTTTTTACTTTTTTTACGCTGCCCGCCTCCGGCGTCTATAGAAAAGAGATCAACCGAGATCAACTCTCAGTGAAAGCACCGCCTGCTGACCAATCAGAGCTCAGTGTGCGGAGTTTAAATCTATCAAGTCATATTACAGGATAGAGGAAATACAGAACAACTGCCGTATGCAGGGAAGACGCCGACGTGTCGCACTTATCATTCATATCACATCATCGATCATATAATATCATAATATATCAAATATTTCCTTATCTGAGTCAGCTTCTCGAGCCGTATCAGGCCGTGCAACACTTACAGTGTCACATAGCCTACTGTATGCAGAAGTATTATTTTAAGCAACACATTAAGTTGACGAAACACTCAACTCAAATGTAATTATGTTAATTATTAAGTCAGATTACTCCTGTCTTAGATGAGGCAGTGATATCATAAACCTGTTCATCTAGCCTACGCATTCGGTAGTTTATTTATTTGTTAACCAGCTGTTCTGTATTCACCTTGCATGTTATGTTGCTTTTATCCTGGATAAAGTGTTTAAGTCATGGATGTTTAAAGTTGAACTTCTTCATATTTGTCTAATATTATAGTTTCATTTTCATTAATGAAGTATGACGTTGCGCTGTCATCACGCTTGTCCATGTTTGTGATTGGTCAAATGTTGAACGCGCTCTCAGCCCGGACAGAGAAACCCTGGGTTGATTTACTGCGTTGATAACCAGCGTCGGTGGCTACAAAGCAGCGCTAATGTCAAAGACACAAATATTATACATTATATTTTAATTTGACCCGGATGCAGTGACACAAATATTTGGGAAGGCTTAGGTCTGCCTCCAACCCAATACAGTGTGGCTGCTCGACGTGATACTTTGACTAAACCACAGATGTCAGCGTTTTTGGAGGGGAGTATTTCCTAAAAGTTGCACAATAAGGTCTGGGGATTATTCAGAGTGGCTGGGACATTGTTGAAGGGCAAATCTGCTGTTGATTGCTTTTTTTTTCTCTTTCTTTTTTATTGCTGCAAAAATACAATTCCAGATTCACCTCCATTGTATCGGGGTTGGATGCAGAAATCTTGGCTAAAGATGTTGCACCAAAAAAGTCTTAATAAATCATTATGACAAAAGAATATTATGTTGTCTTCTACATCATTACACTCTGACATCTCACTTTCAGATCAAAGATGGCCGCTGGCATCAGACCCAGTTTATCTTTCAAAGCCAGGACCCGAACTTACTCCCCATCGTGGACGTGTTGAACCTGCCGACAGCAGATGGCGGCGCTCGCTATCACCTGGAGGTCGGACCCGTGTGCTTCTTATGAGGCCATGAGGGGGGGAGCTCCTCAAAGGAGGGACTGCATAGAGGAGGATGGAGGGGGGGGGGGAAACTGATCTTTCTTCTGTGGTTTCCCGGAACAACAGACCCCCAATTTTCTCTCCGCAAAATATGCTTGGACTGCAGAAACAGGAGGGGGGGTCGGAGCGAGAAGGCCCGTTGAAAATGCAGACTTCTAGCATCATCAGCAGCCTATGGAAAACAATAAGCTTTCTTTCTCAGAGACTTGTTTGTGATACAAGACCTGAATGTACTATTTTGGTGGGAAGTAATATGTCTTGCTGTCATCTCAGGCCATGTTGTATCATATTTTCTTCACGGCCTGAGTCCTGATTTTGAAAATATCTAAGAGATCTGTACAGAAATATTGAACAGCAGATGCAATGATTCCTTTTGTAATGTTTAAGTATTATTTATACATGTATATGTACTGTATATTGTAATATAAAGTGCAATGGTTATTGTTCCACACCCTTGGGAATATACAGTATGGGCATCACTCTTTCAGGTATACGGCGTGCCTCAGACACTGTCTCCAGGTAAGTCTTTTTGAAAACTGTCTAGTGCTGAGACACCCCCCGTTTAAAAAAATATCCTCACTCCACTCAAAATGGATCGAAGCCTTCCACAGTGTGAAGCGAGAACAGTGTGTTGATGCTACCTCGAACGGCGCGTCTCATCTCGCGGCAACCGAGACGTTACCTGATATCATCTGGGGTGACACAGAGGTGACACTCGGGTGATAAACTCTTCAGCAAAGCTTTGTTTGTGCTTTAAGAAAAGAAGGGAAGACTAAATTCATTAAATGATATTGTTACGGTAGTATTTTAACATTTCCAATATTCTTTGTACTGTCTGACACTGAGTCTGACTCTATAAGTTAAGTTTTTGTAACTGTCAATTATGCCACTTGTTATTAGCTACAGTGTATTCTTTTTAAATTCTGATTAGCTTTCCAGTTCAAAACAAGGCATCAACGTCACATTAGGAGCTTTAAAGATTTGTTCGGTCTGTACGTTTTTCTAATGACTGGTTCGAGACAATCAACTGTATTGTAGGATATTAACAAACGTGTTTATGCATTTCTCACTCAGAGGTGCAGCAATGGTGGTTGTTGCCACCAATCTATAAGCTCAGAGGATTTCCAACAATACACAACACTACCATGGCTCACAGTGTTTGCTCTGTACACACACTTTATGCTGCGTTTATGAAGTCTAATGACTCCACAGGTAATTCAATAAAAATTCTGAAACATTTGTTTATAAGCAGCTTTCCATTTGTTTCTGTCAAAGAAAGCTTCATAGCAAAGGAACGGAATAAAATGCATTTAAACTGCCTACTTGTGGCAGTGCTTTTTAGCTTCCTTCTATTCATTTCACACCTGGACCTGTGAAACCCAGACAGCAGCCGCCTCTGCAAACAGAGGGAAACATTGTGTCCTTGAAGTAATGCCTTGTTTTTCCATCAGTTTTAGTGGCAATGCGGGGATTCTTGGTACAAAGCACAGGCAGACTTGTAGGTTGAAAGCAATATATTATCAGACTGCTGTATCTCAACATGCATGACCCTATCGGGGGCACATGGCATGGCGGCCCCCGTCAACAGGAAGGTTGACTCCAGTGATGAAGCTGGCAGCATCGGACGCCAGGAAGGCGATGGCGTGGGCCACTTCCTCCACCTCCCCCGGGCGGCCCAGGGCATGGGTCTGCTTACACTTCGCTAGAAACTGGTGATGAAAGAGATAGACAGACACTAAGTGTTACTGTTCACGGCTGATTGATTTACAATTCGGGCTGTTATCGGCTTTCCTTTTAAATGAAAGCTTCTATTGAGATGCTTCAATGCAGCTTCAATTCTGTTGGAAGTGTTTCATCTGATTACAAGTTTTCAATTGAATCAACTTCCTTTAATGAATATAACTTGTCAGCAAATGTCTCTTAGGGTGCGAAAATATGGAGAATGTATTGTAACTGTTTTAATATGTTTAGACATTTTAACTTTACAATGTTTTAGAGTTATGTAAAATATCAAAATAAATCCTATACAGCCACTGAAGTCAAATTCAACAAATATATTTTAACTAAAAATATCACTGTAGCCTAATATTTATCTGCAACTGTGCAGAAGGAAAAAAAACGTGGCATTTAAACATTTTAGAATTTGAATAATTTTGTAATAAATGATGCTTTAAACTATTCAGTGAAGACTTACTTCTAAATGTGTCCTCTGTGCTAATCAGATGCTAGGATATGATGGACCTAAACATGGAGACTAACACAGAACCTCTGAAAGAACACGTGTTGTAGAGGAAACACTCAGTTTAGATGTGTTACCTGGGCATACTGCTCCTCATTCAGTCCCGCTCTCTTGTGGACATCAGTGATGATCACACCGGGGCTGAAGAGATGCCGCAGGGGAAGCGACACAACACATGGTGCATCATAGATTTGATTTCAGACAGAATGGGTGATATCCATGCTTTTTAAATCAGAAATGCATAGGATATCGTATACAATATATGAAAAGGGCACAAAATATTATGGATGAATTGCATTCACTCACCACACAGAATTCACTCTGACTTGCTTTGATGCCAGCTCTGAAATTAAATGGAGTCATGATGTTTATATTGGGAAATTCTAAAATGGCTAATATACAGAATATAATCAGTCTCACTCACCAAGCGCTGTACAGCTCGTGAACTGATCAATGGCTGACTTGGACATGCAATAGGCCAGCACACCAGGGAACTATGAAGAGAACATGTTTCACAATTATCATAAACATAAAGACATGATATGCAGCGGGACTAGTTTTAAAGCATTTGGCTAGCTGCTTAATACCCACTGATCTCTGCCCATTGACACTGGACACGTTGACGATGGAGCCTTTGGTCTCGATCAGGTGGGGCACACAAAGCTGAGTCAGGTGGTATACAGATCTGGAAGATGGATCAAAAGTTAGGGGACATTCTTACTAAAAATGTAAAATATACACTTTTTGCTAAATCTCAAGTTGGGGAGTAAGTAAGTACTACTAGTCATCTGTCTTCAAGGTCTAGAAAGGACAATAACATCTGTGATGGGATCAGTGTTGAAACATTATTTTAATTGCAGTGCTGGTCACAAAATGAATTGAAAATGTATTGCATTTTGTCAAGTTATTTCATAATTTGGTGTTATACCATAATGTTTTGTTATGCACTTTTGTTTACTTCCATTAAGTACCTCTCCGTTATCTTTCCGCTCCAAAAATGTGTTTCTTGGTCGAAAATATCGAGTTCTGTGTTTACAAATTTTGAAACTAAACATATTTATCTATTCAAAATCCTTTTTGATACACATCCACGCATCACTTTAGCCAACATCCAGCTACTACACACCCTGTACTGCTGTATATCCGTTACTAAAATGTCTCTCTGATGTCAGGTGTGTGATATCCTACCTGACATTGATGTTCATGATCCTGTCATACTGAGCCAGGTCAGTTGTCTCGATGCTGCCCATGGCCAGGATCCCAGCGCTGTTCACCAGGACGTCCAGCCGGCCAAAGTGAGAGATAGTTTGCTCCACCGTCTTCTTCACCACCTCTTCATCAGTGAGGTCTCCAGGGACAAGCAAGGGCTAATAACACATTAAATAACACTCAATGTTTCATTATGTTCTAAGGTAGCAATCTTAGGATGATAGTCACAATGTTTGCATGTGTATAATGTTATTGTATCTGTATAACATATGGAAATGTATGTATTGTTTTTTAGGTAGGCTACTTACTAGTATTTACTACCATGCTGCTTTTGCCAATTTGACATAAAATGAATGGAAATGATGTTTACCCTAAGGTAGTTTTTCTTAATATTGCTACATTTAAAACGCACTCGAGGACAATACGCTCATCCAGAAATGCATTAGAACTCAAAATGCCATACCTTGGAAACTTCAAAATCACAATATGGTCAAATCTTTTTTTTCACATTCAGACCTTTCCGTTCACAATTTATTCTAAATTCAACGGAAGTTTGACACCATATCTGTTCTCTGGTTAAACGTTTTCTAGGTCACACAGTTCAGAATGAGTTACCTCGGCAGCTCCACAGTCGGTACACTGTTTGGAGATTTTCTTCAGGTTGTCCACGTCGCGGCCGTTGAGAGCCAGCAGAGCTCCGAGTCTGGCGAACAGGACGCTGGTCCCGGCCCCGATGCCCGAGCTGGCCCCGGTGATCAGGGTCACTTTCCCCCTCAGGGAAGACACCTGAATCACAGAAAAACACACAGTCCAGCAACTTTACACAGAATACCTTACAATTCATTATTTAACTAGAGTTACTGTTATAACAGTGCGAACAAAATTATACACGCGCACAACTACAAATGAAACAAAGCAGACTTATCCTACTTTGAATGCATCATCTGAGGCCATGGTTGTTGTGGAGTTGTGTTGTTTGTAATAAGTGTGAACTTGCTGTATCGGCTAGTCACCATGGGCTAGTCACAGATACATGCCTCGTCCACTAGTGATGACGTAGTTTGACAGTTCATTTACACACGTGTTCATTGTGAATGCTTTGGAACAATAATAAAAAGGAAAACGGGGAAAATATTATTATTATTATTATTATTATACACGTTAGGATAAACAGCCTTACGATGAAACATTTAACAAGAGTTACTTTCATAACAGTACTACAACAATGATAACATACATGCACAAAACTGCAAATCAATCAAAGCAGACTTACTTTGATTGCATCATCTGAGGCCATGGTGGAGGCTTCAGCCATTTTTGCAGACTCCGTTTTTGTACTTATTAATTGCAGCTTACTTTGGGTGGAACTGTTATGAGGCTTTGCCTTTTGAGTATGTTTTTGAGTTTTCATGTGTTTGTTTACATCACTAAGTTTGGCGTAAAAATCAGCCTTACAATACAGGCAATATGCCCGTGTATAATTAAGCAATCATACACGAGAGGCCGTTCTTTAACGTCATTATTGGTACGACAGTACTGCGGCAGTACGTACGCCTGTACTGGAGTACCAATAATGACGTTAAAGAACGGCCTCAAGTGTATGATTGCGATTCTATAACACAAACTATCATTGTAATCAACAATATCGTAACATAATTTCATAATGTGGGCTAATTTGCTCCCAAACCTTCACTTTCTGCTTGAGTTAATCTCCGTCAGAAAGTAGTTCCTATAAAGTAGTTCCCTTGGTAACGAGAGCCGATCAATCGAACACTCCTGCTTCCCCGCTTACAGTTATTGATATAATTATAGTAAATAATATATTATTAACCAATTTATTGAAAACAATTTATTGACAACAATTCTTGAATTAGGCTATTTATTTATTTATTTACATATTTAACATTTTGGCTTCAGAATGAAGGTGGATGTTCATGCTGCCATTAAACGTGCAATTTTTGAAACAACTCATGAACTCCATGCCAGACTTTTTTGCAGTTGGTGCTGTGGTGTTCACGGAAGAGCTTTCCTCCAGTGGCCGCTTGGCGTGTCCCGGACCGGCAAAAAGCGCGTTGCTCCACATTTTTCTGTTGTCCAGATGATAACTATAAAATCTGACATTTTGTAGCTAACGATTTTCCAACGAGAGACAATGTAACAATGTAACGGCTGTGTGTCGCTATGGAAACCACTACTTCTCCGCTGCTTTCTTGTTCCAGTTTGCAGTTAGCTTTTGAATTGTGGTACTTTTCCAGTTGGTCTACCTGCTCTTCACGTAGCTCTGCATGTTGTCGTTTAGGTGCTTTTTTTTCTAGGCACTCCTCAATCCAGTCCTCCACAGTAAGACCCCCCCGGAGGTTGAAGTTAATCTTAAATGTTTCCATATTATGTTTGGAAGTTTGTTTCGTAACGTAAAAAGGAGGGTTTCTGCCCCGTTACTTCTCCGCTGCTTTCTTGTTCCAGTTCGAAGGGTATACCGTTTTTCTCAGACGCGGAGGGATACTGACTTGTTGTGAAAAGGCACGTTCTATTTGACCGTTCTTTGATCGTGGAATCAAACACGCCTATTGACCAATCAGAGAGCTTGCTCACACCTATGTGTTGTAGAATTTCCAATAAATGGCTTCAACCAGCCTTCGAATTCAGGGTTTGATTCCCAATCCTTCCTGTATTTTTGAGCGTAGTGTTTAGACTTAGACATGATGAGCTAACTAGCTATAGTACCTAAATGTTAAGCTTATGTCAGAGAGATGCACACACTTAACGGCAGCTTTGCGCACGCGCGTTTCATTTGAAGTCTTGACTTGGTCACGTGTTGCTGTTCTCTCTGCAGCTGGGACCGTGGATGTAGAATCAGAATCCGCTGATCGTTGAGGACAGTAATTGCAGTCAGAACGTTACGTACTTTCACGTCAGTCTCCAAAACACCAGAAAATACTTAAACACCAGAAAAAGTCGTTAGATATGACAGTAGTCACTTTTGACAAAGAAAGTCGCCAAGTTGACACACTAAAAATGTAATGGTTATGTGATGGGATAAATAAAGATGTTGGTTTTTTTTGTACAGATAATGTTTCTTCTACGTCTGCCAAGAGCTAGGCTACAGCAGTATGGCACCGCTTTAAAATACGTTATGAATAAGAAAGCAACAAAAAACGTGTCAATTCACTTGTTGTTGTTGTTGATGAATCCCCTTTTGTTTTTTCCTGTGTTGTTGTACCTGCGCACCCCTGATGTGGGGTTCATGAAATAAAAAATACATCTATACATCATTTAGATTATCTACATGTATTGGGTTGTTGAGTAGTAATGTTCCTACATTTGGATTTTTTTCCCAATACAAATACAAATGTATAACTGACAACCAACAACTTCAGCCTCTTGACTTTTAGACGGTGACATTTGAACAGTTATGCATGCAGAAATTGTTTTTGAAATCATGGAAAAACATAATTATAAAAGCTTTATTCAGTACAAAACATTAAACAATTATTTACATAGCCCATCAAGAAAAAAAGATTCAAATCTGTATATCAGTGAAGAACAAAGCCAGGCATGTTTACCTTTTGGACTGAATTCTGAATGTGTTACGGTTAAACAATCTATAATTCTTCTTTCCAGCGGCTTTGTAACATACAGGGGATGCAAACCATTTCTTAAAAATCATAATCATGCCTAGCTATAAATTGGATGGCATAGTCTAACATTTGTCTTCTGGATTCAAAATGGAGCACTACTCAGTTTACAGCCCTCAACTTCCTTGTCTGGAAAGTTATAAATTAACTTTGGCAATGTACGACACCCTGTATAAATAGGCTCAGGGGACATTTCAGAGTCCAAGTTTGTGTTAAAGGCCTATTAGCATATTTGAAGAGAAAGCTGTCTATCCAGCAAAAGGGTTGGCATGTATGGTCACATCCTTTATCCGGGTTTCAGTCAGTGGTCGGAACGTCTTTTCATTGACAGGCAGCTTCTCCAGTTCATCCAGGGTCTCCAGGCCATCGATTATTCTACATGTTGAAAAGAGTATGATCAGCTGCCATTGTGAGTTATATTCTAATTAATCAGTAACTGTCAAGCACATTAACCAGGTGTCAAAACACGTTTCAACAATCATTCTCACAAAACACTTAAAAAAAGTTGCATACTTTCCAAACACGGTGTACTTCATGTCCAGATGGGGCTGTTTGGCATATGTGAAGAAAAACTGGGAGCCATTTGTGTTGGGGCCGTTGTTAGCCATTGAGACGACTCCTCTGACATTATGCTGGAATAAAAAAAACAAAAGATGTTTAAGACTAATGATGAAATATAAGGTTAAACTTGCTCCCCTGATGTGAAAAGCTACCCAAGTAGTACTCACTTTAAGATGTTCACTGTACTCGTCGTCAAATTTGCGACCCCATATACTTGTTCCTCCTTTGCCTGTGCCTGAATGGTTTAATCAAAACACAGAGAATAAAGAGGAAGCAGTGAGGAGTGAATTCTGACATTTCTATGTTAAATTGCAGCACATGCACGACAACACCTTACCTGTAGGATCACCAGTTTGAACCATGAAACCTTTAATGTTTCGGTGGAAGAGACTGCCGTTGTAGAATCCACTGGCACACAAAGCAAGAAAGTTCTGTAAATAGTCAAACATAGGTTAGAATATTTGATGACTGCTTTGGGGAAAATATATGTAAATCCCTGTTTAGGCCTTCAATCATTACAGTAGCATTTGTATTTACACAATTAAGGTACCTTACGGTTTCATTTTTGTATTACTTTTAGAAAATATTTACATTTGTAATGTACATCTTTAGTTTTGCCAACATTAGTTACTTGTTACTTTGCAGTCAGGTTATGAATAACAACATTAATCAAGTAATACATTAGGATATATTTGTATGCATTAAGCTGACAGTATTCACTCTACGGTACAGTTTACCTAACAATATAATAGGACTTAAATGCATTTAATTAACGCATTTGTAAGACGTCTCAAGTTTGTGCTAGTGGACTTTCAAAGCCTTTTACTTCTGAATGGACAGAAACAGGAGCCTCGGAGCATGTCATGCTAACTGTAATGTTATTGACTTACCTCACATGATTTTGGTGCCCGTTCACAAAACAATTCAATTTTAATTTCCCCTAGATCCGTTTGAAAGGTGACAGCCTGTAACAATTACAAAGTAAACTAAATCATTAAAACGTTTAACAGGCAGGGTTAAAAGTTCGTTCGTTCGTTTGTGTTAGCTAGCTAGCTTAGCCTGTTAGCCAAAAAAGAAAAATAAGCATATTTTCATTATAAAAAAGTACGTTTCTGGACTGGCTCCTAACAGACGTTAAAACACATTTTTCGTTGATAATTTTTCAAACACATATGTTATTTATTATGTTGAAAAGTCTACTGGAAAAGTTCACAATCAAACGTACCATTTTGAACGGTGCGTCTTTGAACAAGTGTGTCAAGAAACATGTCCGTCTGGGAGCAAGAGCCCTGCAATGAATGGTTCCGCAATGAATTTACGGTCAATTTAAAAGGACACACACCTGGCAAAACGACGGTTACTATTATTCTGGCCTATTTATATGATGTAGGTGTGACCCTATAACCATAATAGATATACACTGTTGATGTTGTGCCTAAATTAATGGCTTGCCCAAATAATCCGGGCACTCTATAGTCCCCAAAAATTCCCTTTTTGTTGTGTAACATACGTTTTTTTTTTTGTATTTCTCTATTTGAGAATGTTAAGATTTATAATTGGATACATTGGTTAAATATAATAATAGGCAAAACAAAGGCAAAAAGAGCCGGAGATATTTAATGTTAAAAAATATTCTTTACCCAACAAAAATATTGAAATACCAAAATAGGAGAGAGAATCAATATTCACAACATTTAAAAGTTTCCCCAAAAGACACAAGGACAAATTAGGTCAACCAAGTTTATTTAGTTTTATCTGGAGGGGATGCGGTGTAGGAGATGATGGGACACATGCTCAAACAGAACACTCACTGTAACATCATTCTTGTCAATACCGATACACTGATGACATTTCTTATTAAGGACAAATAAAGATTAGAGTTGGGAAACATTGAAAAAAAGAATTTGTACCCAAGAACATTGCATTTAAGAGATGAACATCGTGGAGTGAGGGTCTCATCACGCCAACATACATACATACACATGGATAACACTATCATACACACTTCATCCATGCTGACCATCGTTCTGAAACACTACAGCTCACTTTGTAAATGGTCATTGAGGAAAACACAGAATCAACGTTAAACCAAGTGTCTTGAAAAACACAAACATTTAGTTTGAGCCAGCAGTCAATATTAAACACACCAAACTAGAAAAAGAATGTATAGAAATGCATATAAAACTGTAACTGTATAAAACAATTGTTTAAATTAATAAAAAAGACCAGGTGTAATCAAAAATAGGCAATTAACTCAAAACAGAAGTGAGTACTAGCTGGCTTCCTGAGAAATTTAGTTATATTGTATAATACTAATAGCTGTCAAAATAAAAATAAAAACATTAGTCAAAATCATAAAAAAGGAGGGAAAGACCGAACAAAATATTAACAATGAGATCAAAAGCTAATCTATAAAATGTCCCTAGCAACCTACACAAAGTCCTTTTAATGTACTGACCCTTTACTTGCAGTGTTCACTGACACACTTAACATAGAGTAGTTGATTGTCTTAGTCTGTGGTGTATTGCTGAGTGTGCTATTTAAAATGCTCCAGCTGTGACGTAAAGGGAAATACTTTCAAATAAAATGTGACATACCTATCTAATATAATTTCAATCTTATGCCTGGCAGTTATTTAGTCAAACCTTTCCATATAGAATAATCAGAAAACATGTGTTGTATACCATCATTTGCATTTGCGTTAACATGTGGGAGAGATGCTATAGTGCAAAAGCAGGACAAAAGAATGCACATTCTACATCACTTACTATTACATAGTTTAAATGAAGGCAATATTGCACAATATCGCATAGTGAAACATGTTAATTAAATAAATGTACATAGTTTAAAGTATTCCTATGCTTTTCAATGCAGTTATGTCACTGTATATTGCTACTCTCCAGGTTTTCTTTGCAGTTAGGTTTATTAAAACATAAACTGATTTCATATTTTGTTCTCGGGTATACATAAGAGCCCGTATTGTGTGCTTTGCTGCGTCAGAGCTGTGCATTGATCTTGTTTTTAGCATTGTTAGCAAGGTGCTGCTTACGGTGGCAAAACACAATTGCAGAAAAGTCATTATCAGGCAAACAAAAATGAAACATTTCTCAAAAAGTCCACAAACTTTGAAACCAGAACATTTGAAAAACAATTAGATCAGTGCTGAAAAGTATGGAGGCCCATGCATGACAGCACAAAACATACAATAATAATGAAAAACATTTCCCAAAACTATGAATAATATAAATCAACAGATGACGTCACCAAGTTATGTCCAATCAATGAGAAAATAATATGATTTTACTTTCTAGATGGTGGCAACCCAGGACTTCCTTTGAGTTCAATTTTAAACAACCCATTGATGAACATTAAACAAAATAGGATATTACTTCTACCTGGTGAAGATGGGTTTCCATATGATACACAATACAAATGCCTGGCATAAATATTCAAATCTAAATCAAACTTAATTTCTTATAACGTGTCACTAAAACATTGAGACAACATATGTATCTTTTATCTGCCCAACTTGATTCCTGGAGTCAAGTATGGTCACAGAGAGGAAAGGAAAAGAAAGTGATGAAAAAAAAAAAAGATCATGTGAAAGGGTAACTGCCATTTCATATTTCTTGCCAATATGTAGGATGAATTTGTAGAAACTATAATTTATCTTTACATCTGGTGGAATGTATCTTGTTTCTTAAAAGTGTTAAGCTTTTTGAGGTAGAAGCTCAAATGTAACACAGAAATGAAGTTTCAGAAATGACCTTTGGACCTTATTGCATTGTTCTTTCACACAAATAACTGGTTATTATATTTTCATCCAATATAGCAGTTTCAATAGCTTTAGATTAAATATGTAATGTAACTGCAGGGGAAACATCTACACTGAATATTGCAATATGTTTTGAACAATGCAATTCAGTGACATTTAATTAAAAGAATAACTACACACTTACACTGTTATAACAAATAAAAATAAAATGAAGGCCAGGTGTTCATAACAGAGATTTTAGGAGATGTTTGGAAATGAACTTGCTATCTGCATAAATCTCAACTATCAGGGCATGCCAGTGGATATGTGCGTCATAGCCACCACAGAAAGAGAAATAAACTAGTCTAGTGTTTCAGGTAAGCATCTGCTTCTGTTTTAAGCACATCACTTATACTTGGTGGCTCTTTTCAATGTCAATATAGTGTCATCCTGTATAAACCTCATTCAAATGATTTGATGCAGACATAACTCATCTCATTCAAAACATCTTCAGCATGTTCCTAAGATTGGTTCGGTTTGTTCTGTGCAATTACTTACAATGTGGATGCAGCATAACCATGAAATAGATGTTGTTCCCACTGAGCAGTATACTGGCAGATAGGGTTGGGTATCTGCTCGTCGATGAGAGGCTCCACAAATGTCCTTTTATGGGAGGGCTATCTTGTAATGCTAGTCAATTAGTCTGCATTAAGTAGAATAACTAATTGTGTTAGTGCTAGGTCAAACACGTTACACAACTTTCTGCAAAAAGTGGCCATCTTCAACCCCCCCCCCCCCGCACGTAAACTGGCTCCATGTACGATTGCACTTTTTAGTGTTTAGTGTAGTTTAATACCACATGTTGTGCTGCTACCAAGACTCAGGCCAATCAAAGGCAAATCTTCAGTCTCAACAACATAAGAGACTGTTGACTGAGTGATCCTTCCACATTAAGAAATGCACCCCTGAATCACTAAACTTTCATTATTTCAACAATTAGCAACAATATATCAAATGTGTTGCTTTGATCGAAAGACTTGTAAGATATTATAAGTGAAACATTTAATTGTTAGAATAAAAAAGCTTCCAGCTTGTCATGATTTCAAGATGAACTAAATTGATAACCGGAGAGCGCAGACCGCGGCAAAGGGTTTATTTTCCCATCTGGAAAATATCAAAAAAGTGAAAAATAAAACTAAATGTTCCTTTTGGTCCATGCCACACCCTTCTAGCAAGTTAATTGGGAAATGGACAATTTGTGTATTCTATCTTGATTAAACAAAGTCTGATATTATAGACACTGTGAACTGCCTTTAGGTTTTCATACTTAAATTATCCACCATACCTGAAATGCATAACGTGTCCACTAATCTTGCTGTTCATAATGCCACTGCTACATTACTGCTGGAAAGCATCATCACTGGGTTGTATTGTGGAGGCCTGAGGGGTTGTTTGTAAAGGAAGGAAACTCAACTGCACAGTCATGAATTAAGATAACAACCTGAATCCATCAATATTTTGATTATGCTTACTTGTCACTGGTTCTTGATACCCAACCTTACTGGCAGTACACTGCAGCAGTACTCTTGTCTGCTGCAACAAGCCTTCTGGGACAGTATAGGCGTTACAGCCTGTGTCAGGTCCCACTCGGACAGTATCCATTTTATCTCACAGCCACAGTTCAAGCCTGTTCTTTGTCACTTTTCCATAACTGTTCCTTGACCTCCGTGGGCAGGGTGTTGAAGAGGTCCTCCTCCACCACGAGGCCGGTTCTCTTTAGCTGTCGGCACTCGGCCAGCTCCACGGGCAGACACTCCAGACGGTTTCCTCTCAGTTCGAGCTGTGTCAGCCCGGTCAGCTCTCCAAACCGCGATGGCAAAGACTGCAGGCAGTTGTTTCCCAAGTTCAAAGTGCGAAGCTTTTTGCACTGGAACAGCTCATTAGGCAGGCTCTCGATCTATGTTTTTAAGTGAGGAAGGGGTTGTGATAGGATAGAAACGGAGAGGTTTTAGAACTTGTAACTTCAAACATTTTCCAGTAGCAAACAAAGCCATAACATAATTTAAAACATGTCAAATTTACAAAAGATATAAATGGATCACATTGATTATTAAAGTACTCACCCTGTTAGCGGTCACTGCCAGGTACTGGAGATTCTGGAGGAAGCCAATGTCTGCCGGGATATAGGTCAGGTTGTTATGACTCAGGTCCAAGAAGCGCAGCTTGCGGCAATAAAACAACTGGCTGGGCATCTTCTCGATCTTGTTTCTGTTCAGGTAAAGTTTCTCAAGGTTGGTCAGTGTGCCAATCTGGATGGGGATATAGGCAATCTGGTTGTACCAGAGCTTAAGGCAGACTAGCCGATGAAGGTGCTGGAAGCTGATGATCTCCTCGATGGTCTTAAGGTTGTTGTCCTTCAAATCGATCTCCTGCAAGTTGTGCAAGCTGAAGATTGAGTGTGGTATGCGTTCTAGATCACAGCGAATGAGCTCCAGCTCTGTCAGGTTAACCATCTTCTTCAAGCTGTTGAGCACCATCAGCTTGGTGCCTTCATTATTGACGGAAAGCTTCTGGAGGTGCATGCCCACATCGGTCACCACCTGAGGTAGCTTGGTGAGATTGCTCTTTAGACGGAGAACTTTGAGCCTCTTGAGCTCCCGAAGCCCATCAATGACAATGTAACGGTTGTTCTCGGCGCTCAGATTCCCTGTCAGGTGAAGCTCGCTGAGATTCTTCAGACTGTAGATCCATAAAGGAATCTCTTTGATGTCAGTGAACTTGATGTGCAGGGACTTCAAGTTCTCTCGCAAAAACGCCAAAGCAGGAGCTTCGATTTTGGCCGGTGTGTGGTACAGCCACATCTCTCGCAGGTTGATCAGCTGTGCGATGATCGGCGGGATGGTGACATCGGGGATGAGCTCCAGTTTAAGAACCTCCAGCTCCATCAGGTCAAAAACTGTGTCCGGGATGCCACTTAGCATGAAAAGGTGCAACTCCAACTTCTCCTGAGAGTTCTTGGTAATCCTCTGCCGGAGCTTGTCTAGTGTCCACTCATTGTTGAGGTTAAGTTGCCTCAACTTATTCTCGCTGACTTCCGAGAGGAAGACAGCGAATCGTTTAGAATACAGAGGGTCGTACTGATCGATCATGTGCATCATGAATGCAAAGTCATTCTTAACATCTGGTATGTCACTGTAGCTGCTCTCTTCCCGTATCGACTCAAAGGAATACTTCTTGAGAGAACGCCGAAGCATCCAGCAAAGCGTGTACATGCAGATCAAACCATACACCATTACTAAGCTAATGTAGAAACAGGCTAGGATTTTAAAAAGTGTAGCCAGCGGGTGGGCACAACGGTACACACTGTAACCGGTCAGGCTCTCTATATTTACTGAACAGTCAACACTGAACTTAATGTCGTGCACATAATACCCTGTATAGCAGATTATAAATATAAACTTGATGACTTTGATGATAGTCTGACGGATGTACAGTCTGTACACGATGTCTCCTTCCTCAACGTGTATTCGGAACTTCTTGACTTTTTCGAACAAGGCTTTTGCTTGTTCACCCTCTTTCTTGTCCAAAACCCCAGTTTCTGTTCTATCTACAATGCCCTGCTCAAAGCGTGTTTTTGTCCTTTGGAGCATAGGAACACTTGCTTCGACATCCTCACTGATAACGGACTCCTTGTGGTCCATTGAGCCGTTCATTTTCATTGGTTTTGGGTCACTCTCTTCAACCACTGTCTCCGACAGTGCCCTCGTCGTCCATGGAGAGTCAAAGCATTTCAGCAAGATGGATACAAAGTGCTCTAGTTTGGAACTTGTCCGTGGAAACTTAAACCAAAAGTTGCTGCAAGCTAGGAAAATAAGAGTGTGGAGTAATACTAGGTAAGGGAAATACTTGGCAAACCAGTGCAGTCTATTCTCATAGCACACAGCATCCACATAGTTGTACTGGTGGCGATCAAGATCATACTGGATTCCTTTGGGTTCCGTGAACAATGATTCGGAGAGGGTAGCATTGAAGTTCTTTTTGCAGGTCTCATTGACCACCCATTTGCAGGGCAGGCAGATCATCTTGTCCTGGGTGACCTGCAGTGTCCCCCCAAACACTGAAATCATTAGCATAACAATGGAGATGTAGTCTGTGAACACATCCCACCATGGTTTAAGGATGCGGTATGCCGGCTGTGTGTCCACAAAGTACCGAAGCTCAGTGATGGGGATCATGGTTAATCTGTGGTGGGGGAGAGAAATTGAGGACATATTCATAACAGAGGACGGTGCTGTACTGAATTATAATGCCTAGTCAAATAACAGAGCACTACTAAAAAGAAAAAGCTCCTACAGCCTAATCTCTGAACAGCCCTTACCTGAACCACTACACAATACCAAGCCCACAAATCAATACGACAATGCTAACTAACAAGGTCATACATCAGAACATTGCAGACAACTAATTTGTCAAAATCTGCCAGGAATAATGAAATAGAGACTGTTGTGACAAACAATTGCCTTAATGACCTTACCGAGTCAACATGTTATTGATTTAACTTTCTTTAAACCGACACAATCAATCTTTGTTTCAAATAGGGTGTCATAGTGGACATGGCCAAATGGCAAACCAGCTATTGATAAAACATAAAGTGAATTTGTCTGCATTTCACTTTATTCCCTATAAGATTATGGTAAATAATTTCTGAAGAAAAAACCGAATCTTGCACAGGATGTGGCCTTGAAAGTACATGCCGACTGTGCATATAAGAAATGATTCATTTAACAGAACAATTATTTCATATTAGCTTAATGAAGAATAACCTAATAATAAGCAAGGCAGCATTAAGTCATTTATTTTTCTGGTGCTGTTTATCTGGTCACCTAAACTAATGAAAAAGGGTTTTCTGATACTTAAAGAGATATTCAAAGCTGTCAGTTGTAATGGTGCCTTTACTCTAATTTAAAGAAAAAGTCCTCTAGAAAGTGAACAAATAAGTGTCAACATTAGCAGTACTTGGATGGTATTTCATATAATGTGAAAATAATTGATGTGGATATTCTGTTTCACTTATTAGGCCGCTGGATAGTTAGCTAACTACTTTGCTACTTCCACCGTGCTTTAATACAGACTATTGTTATGATTTTGTTACGGGATGCATCAATTGTGACATTCTGGTATGAAACTGTTGTTTAAAGTAACAATTTTGCAATAAGCCGACAGCAAGGGTTAGTTTGGGATGAAAGCTGCCTTCATATACGTCTCCTTTCTCCAAGATTAGCCAATAGCTCAATTCAATTGCAATAGTTTCAGCAGGTAGCAGGCAGTTGCTATGCATATTTATAAACACACTAAATAAAATGCATTTACTTTGAACTGAACAGACAAGATTTGGAACTGAATCCATCAACACTACTGAATACCCATTCAAGGGTTAAGATACTTTTTAGCCTTTAAAATGATGTTCTTGCACAATAACAATCAGTCATCATAGTGCCAATATATTATGTTTTAGTAAGGTTGCGCTGATCCAATAGCAACTAGGGCAATATAATAATATTTATGTTTAGTAATTCTATCCATTAACCATGTTTATGAATGTTCCAGAAAATGTATTGTTATGATTATATCAACATATAATCAAAATGTTGATGATGTTGAATAAAGTTACCTATACTGGGACCTGCCATCAAACCTGGCCCAAATGCAACAACACTAATATTGTTGTTGGTATAAAATATAACCAATCCAAAGAAAAGAAAATCTGAAAAACATAATTTATGTGTAAGGATAGATAAAAAGGCTTTTAATGAACTCGGGAAAATAGGTTCTACTTACAAATCCGTAACGTAAAACACAACAAATCCATTCGTAATCAGTCATGAGCGATCCACAACACAACCTGTTTGGCTGCTGCATATCAGAGAAAGATAAAGAGCCCCATATAAACTCCTAGCCCTGTGTGAGTTTGACACACCCAGAGTTTAAGCTTGAGAAGTCACTCTTCTAAAGATGATGTTCCGTTTTGGCTTGTTTAACCCAAACAACACGGCCGCCAGATGAGCCACCTTTCTCCCTTGCTCTCTATTCTTAGCCATTTCCGTTAATAATACCCAGAGTATTGTCTGTGGGGGCCTTGAGAAGCACCTCCCTAGACCTTCAGGACGAGATCCTGTTTACCTTACAGAAGCTGCTGTCACCAACTAGTGTCTCTCTGGAATACTTCACCGTCAACTTTTGCACTCCCACAGCCGCCCAAAACACACACCTACACATACACAACAAGAGTCTGGAGTTGGCATTCATCAGAGCCTGTTTGTTAGGAAACTATAAAGGCGAGGAGTCGGGACGCCTAGTCTGATTCTGGGCCAAATAGGCATATTTACCCTGGCCACAGTTCAGAGACACTTAAGCACACATCATTATTACATTGATGTGGTCTAGAAGTATGGTTAGATGATAAAGAAGCACAACAAGCACACTCAGTAAATAAAATACTCACCAGTTTGGAGGTGTTATCTGTGCTCCAGTGCCTGCTGATGATCTTGGTGGACAAGCCACTCTGTGTGTAACCAAAACTCTTCCCATTGCCTCTCCCATAGCCATGGGGGTGAATAGATACCTGAAAAGGACAATGGTAGATGTTAATTTCGTCTTGGCTGTGGGAGTGACATGCTAAGGCAAAAGGTGTACAGAAAGTTACCTGCATGCATGCTTACTACTAATCCAAGTTATGTTTAAACAATACTTTACAGTACATTGCGTATACTCTTAACTGTGCAATGTATCGTGTCAGTGATAGTTGTCAGATAGATATACTTATACATTTACATGGGTTTATTGAATATCTTCATTGCTCGTAATATTAGCATGGGGCGTCTTTGTCATCTGGCTAGGTAACGTTAGCTGAGCAAGCACTTTTTAACAAAAAGTTAAAACCGGATGATTTGTTTGACCATATACAAATAAATAGCGTGACCAGCTGTCTTTGGTAGCTTTGAATGGTATGTGACAACAAACTACGTATCATCACGGACACAAGCAAGAACATTGTTTGATGTAAAAACACGTTGGCAAACCAAGCTAGCCTGCAGTTAGCTAATGAGCTATGTTGACCACCGGCTTTATCTATGTCTTGGGAAGTTTACATGCCGTCCTACGTTGCAGGTAATAGGACAGCGACATGTTGCTAACACGTATTTCAAACTGCTACGATGTTCAACTTACTATGTGGTATGCTGCGGTCAAATCCAACCCTACTTTAATATCAATAGTTGCTAACACATTTCTTTAGCTTTTGCTAACAGCTGCGCTAGCTATGTGTTGTTTTTTCCAGGCAGCACTTCCGCCAAGACGACGGATGGCAGTGTGGTGATTATAACAAACGTAGAAGAAGAACGCCTTTCCGCTCTCTTTCTGGGGGAGATTTGTTATGGTTTTAACTGCAAGGTGAATATCTTATGTTTTGATAGACTGAAAATCAGCTCCTAATTTTGGAAATGTTGTCATACAACTCTTTACGGATTGTGTGCCCATTCCGGTCTTTACTGCACCCAAACTGGCTAATGACAAACCGACAGACTCTTACATGTTCAGCACATTGTGTGTCAAACAACTTAACAAAGAAGGACACATGGCAAAGACAAAATAACCTCAAACCGACGGGAAATGAAAGAAAGCTACAATACTCGACATATGCAGCCAGTTCACCCAGGAATTACGGCACAGGTCAATTCAAACTGAACTGCTGGAATTGCAAACAGCCTCTCGACCAAACACCTGCATTCTTCTGCATGACATGCAAAGCAGTCCAGCCCCCAGAAGAAGACATATCATTATTTAACATCATGGATTGGTGAGTATCTAGTCTCATATATCATTGCCTGCTAGGCTGCTATCTTACTCATGTCAGCTTGTGAGCAAAACATTTCGTGTCACCATGTGTTGCCTCTTTTCAGTGACTACAAATTCTCACTGGACACACACAAGCTGCAGAAAAGATACTTGCATCTCCAGCGTTCTCTGCATCCAGACAACTTCAGCCAGAAATCTGTGGTAGGCACGTGGATGTGAGGAGTGGTCAAGGGAGTCATTCTTGAAAAATTAGAAAGATGTTTTTTGTTTTTTTGCAATGTAAAAGTCGAACAAACAGTGTTTTAAAGTAACAAGTACATTTACTCAAGTAGCCTACTGTAATTGAGTACAATTTTGACGTTCTTACTTTACTTGAGTATTTCCATTTTATGCTTCTTTGTACTTCTACTCCACTACAATTCAAAGGTAAATGGTGTATTGTTACTCCACTACATTTATTTAATACCTTTAGTTACTTTTCAGATTTGGATTAATGATGTGAAATATTATCAACAACACTTAAATAAGTCACACCTTGAGTAACATTCACAAGCTACCCTGCAGTATGCAAACCAGCTGCACCTTTACCAGAATTGATAAACACATTAAAGCATCAATAATTATAATCAAAACATAAAATATATATTATTCTGAAATGGACCAATCTGCATAATGAGTACTTTTACTTTTGGTACTTTAAGTATATGTTGGTGCTTCTGTACTTTTACTTCAGTTACATTTTGAATGCAGGACTTTTACTTGTAACGGAGTATTCCTACACTCTGGTACTTTTACTTAAGTACAAGATCTGAGTACTTATCCCGCCTCTGCGAACAAATGAAAAGAAAAAAGCATTGCTTAAGAAAAGAACGAAGGAACACTACAAAACATGATATCGGAAGAAAGGAGTATAGAACATTGTTGTATTCACAATTAAATACACCTTTTCCTACCATGACATGTCAAGATGTTAATTTAGTTAGTTGCAAAAAACTTAACATGAAAACATATAAATGGAAAAATAAACAAGGGTGAATTAATGATGGAATTAAGCAGTTTTAAGTGGAGAAGTCATGACAAGTTAAGTTACCCAAAAGCAAAGCCAATTGTCTTACAGCTGTGAAGACTTTTTGTATTCTTCATGTACTTCATAACACCTACTGGAGCTGACGTTGGCTATAACAGCTTATTTCCAGTGAAGAGTTTTTAATAGAGAAATAAGAACTTAAATATCTAAAATAAGCTCTGTAGTTGCGGAAAGTAAATAATAAATTAATAATATATGTAATTTATATAGCGCTTCTCATCTGCCAAGACAAATCTCGAAGCGCTTGTCATGGCAGCAATCCGATTGAAAAACCTGTACTGTGAGTACAATGTAAAATGTCAAGGTGCTTTTTCAAGTCAGAGAAAATAACCACAATAATGTAACCGTGATTTCATCAAGGTTATTTCTCCTTTGGTTACAAGACTACACATTTCTTACAGAAAGCCTGTGGAGTGCAGCTTAAAGACATGGGAAATGGGCAGGATTTGTTGGTAGCTTGACCTATACTAAGGACAAAAAGTCAGGTTAACTCAGCCTTATATAGAACATTAATAAAAAGCACACAGCAAACTCATGGTGATGCTTTATCATAAGACACTGGAAGAAAAATACAGGAAATAGATCTAATGTTAGTTTGTCCTTTTATGTGGAACGGATGGAGCACTTCCTCTCTGGGAAAAACATTTCCTCGTCTTTTCCCCATCAATTTTGATTTGCCACTTTTTATTTGCAGCTAAGTGTACTTTTCTAACACTAGAATCTTGTGTGGAAATCCCATCCAGCCAAATGCACAGTTGATGAGACAATTAGGCCGACATTTCACATTAAATCCTCAAGACTCAGAAAGAAATAAGACTTGTCCAAATAAATCTAAGCAGTTTAAAGTGGAATGTGTTTAAAGGTTATTTTACAAAGTGGTAAATGGTTAACTCGATTTTCACATTATCCACTTTCTCCCTTCATTAAAAAAGATGGCTGGCAGTTTAGAAGAATAAGCATTATGAGCAGAAAGAAGACAGAACGTGTTTTGCTTTTCTAATAATTTATTCTGTACACCCAGGTGCGAAAACACAATGCACAGTGTTGTCATGAATTATATGAAAGCCTAACTCATATTCAGCAGAATGTCAGAGAGAGGAAAGGTAGAGCCTAAATGCTTTATTCACACACAACCTGTCCAATATTGTACTGACTGTGTTTTATTTATTAGCACCTCTGGCCATTTTTTCTTAATTAGACATCTTCTAGCCTTGTGGGTCTTCATCACATATAGAAAACTCATTACTTATACAAGGCCACAAGGCAGCCACCTACTGCACTGGTTGTTATTACAGAAACAGCTCTACTCGGTGGGCCCATGGGCCAGTGCTTTAGACTATTGATTTTCACAAGGGCTGACAGACCTGATAGCTGCAAAATGTACTCAGAACTGCCAAACATTTCCCAGATGTTTTCCTCCCTGTCTTGTTTCCACACGTCTGTGTGTCAAACTTACACCTGCTTCCCTTGAAGGGTCCCAAACTGCCCGACAACAAAGGAGTAGCTGTATGTCATGCACCTAATTGTCAGTATCACCAAGGATTCGGTGTTTAAAAAATTAACAGTGGTATAGATTGTTATGACAAGGTGTACAACATATCATCTGTTATTCCCTTTAGTGACAGTTTGATGTGTAACTCTGGATAACGAAACAGTTTGTTGTTCTGAATGCACAGCAAATGCCAATTACTCATATTTTCTTTCCCCTTTTTAAAATGAATGAATATTGATTGAACATTCTTAACTAAACAGAACCCTCTTTTGCAGGAAGAACAGGAGTATTCAGAAAGCTACTCCGCTCTTGTGAACAAAGCTTACCACACACTGCTTAAGCCTTTGAGTCGTGGCCTTTATATGGTGAGTTTTAAATCCCTGATTTAACTTCTAATGGATGGTTTATTTTCATAATGGCTCGCTCCGTCTGTCTGGACGCCTTTTCTTGAGAAACACCGTTCCATATGAAGGAGCTGTTGAGGTTGATGATCTCCCTTTGTGTTTTATAGCTGGAGCTGAAGGGAATGGTTATCGAAGAGGGCACAGACTCCGGGGCTGATCCAGAGTTTCTAATGGAGCTGATGGAGATCAATGAAGCGCTTGATGAAGTTAAGACTCCAGAGGAAGCCAATAAGATCGGCCAACACACAAAAGGTAAATAAATATGCCTGTTCGATTTAATGAGTTAGTGTTCATGATTCACGAATTAGCGCAGGTGGACGACTACCAGGTTAATTGGTGCTGAAATATCACATATATATATTTATTTCAGATTTCTGGTCTAGGTTGACCTCTCGAGGCACTTAAAAGTTAATAAAATCCCCCTTTGGCTGAACTGCTCACTGGTTGAGACTTTCTTAGTATTTTCTTTGTTTCCTTGTTATGATTAATATTTTAGTTGTGAAGGATTTGGTGTGATCTGGTCACAATATGTTTGGTTTCATACAACAGCTATCACACCTGAAGCAACTGGTGAATCTCTTTCCAGTGCAACCTAACAAACTCACGTTGTTGGTTTTCAAACTCAGGACATTTGAATCCAGGAATGGAATGGTTGGCTCCACCATTAATGATCAAAACTACCATATACAAAAGACCAACAGATTCACTTAATGGCTGACCAAAAAGGGCATATAGCATTAATAAATACATTTTGAAATGCCTAGTTACCCACTAGCTGTGAAATTTAAAAAACAGTCAGTATTGGGCTTCGTAAATTACAAAACATGAAATTCAACAAGCCATTAAGGTTTGGCCCCTCTTTAAATGACACATGCAGGTTAGTTAGAATAACCCAATGGCTTCATAATTACTTTTGCAAAGGTGCACCATATTTTTCTCAAGCCAATCAGAGAAGACTCCTCACATTGGTGGAATCTAACAGAAACTATGAAAAAATACATTGATTAAAGCATATTCTAGTAGAAACAGATACGAAACATGCCCCCTTTAAAAAGTAGTACTATATTCCTGAATGTATGTACAATGCAAAACAAGGGTGAAAACATCAGACAAGCGAACAAAATATACTTGACAGATTCATTTTTGTCTACATGGTTGTGCTTAATTTACGTCACTTTTTTCAAACACAATTGTCCTCATATCCATGTGCTACATGGTGGGCACATCCAACTGTGTTAACACAATATGACTCTTTGATTTTTCCAATATGGTTTGTATAACTTCAAATAAAGCAGGTACTCACAGAGTGCTTTTTAGCTTGTACAAATAAAAAGCACCATATGTGTCTTGTCTTGTTAACACATGCAGAACTGGCACTTGTCTCCTCCTCACTTTCAGGGAAACTGGCAGTCTTGACAGAAGAAATAGATGCTGCCCTCCTTAAAGGTATTATATTATTTTTCTCTTCCTCCCACTCATTCCTTAGTTTGTTTTGTAGTCTATGCCAAACCTTTTTTAAAGTAATTAAGTGAGTCAGTTATTGAACTTCCTTTTTCACTCTCTTTTTTCCTTATCAGGAGAACTTCAATCTGCCAAAGCCCTGCTTGCCCAAATGAAATACTTTGCAAACATTGAAGAGAAAGTAAAGGAAAAACTTTCTGAATTCATGTAATTGTACCCCCTATTTAATCGCTATTACTTTGTTCCTTATTTTTAAACTAGTTCACAAAGTTTTGTAAAAAACACAAAAGTGAGTGTACATTTGTCATGGGAATATGTAAATATAATATTAAAATGAAATAATAAAACTACTTGTTATGCATAATACACAACTGAATTAATGGTGATTTGTGCTTAATCTTATATTATTTTATTAAAAACTCTTCAGATGTGAGCGTGTAATTGGATGTATACAGTATCTCCCTTGAATTCCAATAATTTCACAAGCCTAATCATATCCACTTGTACCTAATGTATCATTAAAAATGACAGAGATATATAATTACCTCTGATTAAATGTGCTGCTCCGAGTGTTTATATGATTATCCTGCCTATCAGTTCAGCATTTTGTCATGTGGGACTGTCATTCAGTTCCTAGGGGCACCTTTAGGTGGAGACATAACACCTTGACAATTATCATGCAGAGGAGCAGGACATGTTGTACAAACTAGATATGAGACCAGAAGGAAGTCCTTTATTGAGGTAGACAACCTATTGAATTATTTATGATGGCTTTGTATGTAGCATTAAAGCTATGATAATTAGGAAGACCCCACTGAATGACTATTACTTGATGAGCCAAAGATCCATGATCTGGGTAAAGTTCCAGCTCGTACATTGACCCTGTATACTCCTGCCTGCAGCACACTGATGTGTGCATCAGAATGTAAAATCATCCATCTTCTCACCCATTTAAATCGTTTTTTCAACACCAAAGAGTCGTAATCTGTAATTACTTTGCAAATTGGAGCTCCGGTCTCATCAAGGCTTCTGATCCAAGACACTGATACAGGTGTAATCTCACTGAAAAAAAGGCGCGTTGTCTTAATCTGATTGCAGAAAGTGAACCATAAGATCACATATCATATGGAAAATGTTATTTGAGATACAAAGGCATCGCAGCCTAAACTATTTTGTGTGTATTAGTGGTTTTCTGTGCTCGACACCCTACTGTAACACATCCTGACTGGTTGTTTATTAAGTCTGGAACAACAATGTCATGTGTCTGAAGCTGTTAAGTTTTTTTGGCGTGGAGAAGCAGTTTCCTTAATACACATGGAAAGGCATTGAATTAAACAGGGTTTCTCCCACCACAAGGAGACTAACAGGCCTGTTTATTATTCATGTCCTAATCAGAAAGCATCTACGGCGCCTTTGAATTAATGAGAAAATGTGATCGACCAACACTGAGGCCACTGCCATCTCCCAGAACTCTTTAACATTTAGTTTGAAAGAGACGGAAGGGGGAAAAACTCACTACAGCTAGGCTGTGAAATTGACTTGGATGGGAAAATGAACTCGGTACATACGACCACCATGAACCAGTCACGATGCACTGGGTTAATTCAAACATTACTCACAGGCTACATGACCCAGTTAATAGGATCCATATTAGCTATGTTAGTTATTAAACTAGTTTGACATACTAATTTAGCTTATTAAGTTTCCCATTGAGAGTAAGACGAGTATTGAGACCACTCATATTTATACACTTAGCTGCAACTGGTTAGCTTATCATGCTATAAAGATTGGAAATATAAATAAGCTAGCCTTGTTCCCAAGGTGAGAAAATGAGCTCACCTGCAGCTCTGCTTTACATCTCATGTGTGTTATCCATATTAAAACCTAAGGGCAAAAACATTTTAAGTTGTATAGGGTTATGTGCTGGACCTTTTCTTTGCCAGAAACTCCGGTTCTTTGCCAGAAACTCTTGTTATCTTCGAACCGACCTAAACTAGCTGTGTGCCCTTGTTTTATGCCAAGCTGTGCTAACCAGCAGCTTAATATATAGCAGTCAAAATAACCCTTCAGAAAGCGAATGAGCAAGTTTTCCAAAATGTCAAACCTTTTCTTTCAGACTATACATATACACTATACATATTTCCTTGCATTAATTTAGAATTACTTAGGTGAGGTCTAGTTATCATACCGTCACAAATCCACCATTTGTATTACAGACTTATAATATCACCTTGTGTAATGTCTGTAAAGATGTGTAACTTGGAAAATTACTGGAATGCAAATGTATCCTGGATTAAGGTTATAAATGAACCTAATGTGACTAATAGTGCAAGTCATAATTGCAGTATTATTTATCACCATATGGCCTTAACATAAATATCATAATAAGATGAATGTGTTTGCTATCTAAATCATAATGTTCCTTAATCACATTTAAGACTGAATTGTAGGAGGGCCACTGAAACACAAATGCAGTACTCTTGACATGAACCTAATTGAAAAGTTCCTCATTATAGACTATTTGTCTTATGATGATGGAGTACAACAATCACCAAACAGTAGCTAATGAAATGTCTGATTGACAAAAGTCTAAAGCGATGGAGGATGACTCACGGGAGCTGAGCTTTTTTCTTTCACATCCAAGCAGCAGTCTTTATGATCCTCGCCCTTCTGCTCAGTTTCTGTGTGACTCAGTCGTTGAGTGTCAGTCCCATCTTCCCACTGATACCTCAAGCCTGCTGTGTGTACTCGTGTCTCACCGGGTAGTAATGCCATTATAATCTACCGCTATTAGGCTTGCTTCCCGCCCTTAATCCGTGTTTTTATGTTGTTTACCTCATCTCTTTGCCTCCCCACAAAGCTCCTGAACTACAACCTACTTTGAAACCTTATTCTACAAATGTGCTTTCTGAATGTTTGACTCCTGCCTTTTTCTTGCTCAGTTGTGCGTCTGCATATTTTGATACAGCTTAGAGTCTGAACCCACTCATTTGTGATACTGTATTTGTGTGTAGACAGAGGAATGTAGCTTCTCAAGTCATGTCTTCCCAAAGAGCACAGCAATCTGCTATTTACATTGTCTGCCATTTGGTTGCAGCACCAAAACACCTGGCATGTCTGTGTGATATAATACAACATAAAACATGACTGTTTCCCTTTTGTGATTTAAGATGATACACAACAAGCAAAAAGCTAGCATATCACATCTTCTTTCAGACTGGTAGAAGGATAACATCCACATTTAGGTGTTTAACATTGACTATTTGTATCTGTAGATTTATCCTAAAATTCTTTGTGTTCTTTAAATGAGTTATAATTATTGTACTTAATGTGAGTAATCAACTGGGGACTTATCCTATTGACCTGAATTGTTTCCTATCAAACATGGGTACGTGGGTATCAGTTGTCTCTGAAAATCCTATTAGTTTTCTAGTTAATGTTAACATCTTATCTCCAACTGTAATCAGGGATCAGCTCATTAAAGCTTTGATTGTAATATATTGCCTTTTTTTTTCTCGAATTTAATGTTATTCTAAGTCTAATCAGAACACACTCTGACAATAAGCCCCTTTCTTCTCAGTTACATGTCTGTGGGGAGAATTCCCAGAGGTGTTCCCACTGCAGCAGACGAGCCGCTGCTCTAAGCTTTTGATATAGGTGAGAGATTTCCTGGGAAATCTCTGCTCCTCTCAGCAATATGAGGAAAAGGCCGATGCATTTACACACGGTATGTTTGTGTTTTTGCACACATGGTTGTATGTGTTTATGCAGACAGGAATGGAGAGCTGGCATGTCTTCAAATCCCTTTGACTTCTCAGAATGGGTAATCGCCCCAGCAAAAAGCAGTTGTCAAGTAATCCCCTTATCAATTGTCTTTTCCTGAACCTCTTTTCACATGTATTCCTCTAAATTGGATTGGATTTGATTTGGTACACTGAACCAATCAAATACATTTGTTGTTGTGTAGCAATTGCGTCTTGTAGCCCAAATCATGTTGCCATATATTCCAGGATAAAGAAGAAAGTGGTCGTTTTTTTAGTTATCTCTTTTCATACTTCAGATCAGTCAGATCTGCCACTGGTGCATTGCAGGCTTTTCTTGTTTGCAAAACAATGTCCCAATCCAGCTACTGGTTATGGCTGTGCAGCAGCCTGGATTGCTTCTAGATTTCAACATAATATTCTGTGGCACACATTTCTAATAATTTAGTCACTAATGTAACACATTTTCTTCACTCGTTTTTTTAAGGATTACTCAGTGTTCAACGCAAACGTTCCAGAGCCAAGTCTCTTTATTTCTAATATAATCTTTCTACCTGAAGGTGGTTATGCATAATAATGAGATTCTCTGAATTCAAATATACATTTTGTTTGCTAGATACTAGTCAAATAGCTCGCAAAGTCAAATATCTGACGTGTTTACAACATTTCCTCAGTTCTGAGAAGCATAATCTTCAAGGAATAAGAGAGTTCCAGATTTAATTAAACATCTATGAAGCAGCAGGATGCGGGTGGATCTGCAAGTTAAGAGGGTTTTTTGGGCGCTAAGCTGTCCCATTGAAACACTAGGAGCTATTGCTTCAAAGGGCTCCTTTGTGGTTTTTGAGTTTTTAAAGCCTTTGAAGGTGTAGAAACAGGGGTTTTAAACAAGGTGTATGCTTGTGGAAAAACAGATCAGCCATTCACTTTCAGCTGAGTTCAGTGCAAACCACTCATCTCAGTTTTCTGTCCTCACCTTATCTTTTCTCCTGTGTTGTTTCATTTCATTTAAAACCTTTATTTATACAGATAAATCCCATTGAGATCATTGATCTCTTTTCCAAGGGAGACCTGCTCAAGTAGTTCCACATGAAAACATAAAAACATAAATAGAACAACAAAAGGACATCATACAGCATCATTTACATAATTATCCACATAAACAGGTACCAATAGCTTGACTAGCATCCAACCGAGCTTTAAAAACATTTAGTAGCACCAGATTGTTCAGTTTCCATTTAATTTGCAGACTATTCCAAGACAGAGGAGCTGCGCATCTAAAAGCTGTCTTCCCTAAGACAGTCCTAGCAGTTGGCACATTTAATAAAACCACAGCATTCGATCTCAGGCAGTAGCCACTTACAATTCTCCGTGAGATCAGGGAGCAGATATAGGATGGAAGTTTCCCTAACATGGCTTTGTATATAAAAATGTACCAGTGACTGAGCCTCCGTACAGTTAGTGAAAGCAAACCAGCCCTTACATACAGGGTACAGTGATGGGTTAATGCTTTACAGTTTGTCACACATCTCAGTGCACTGTGATACGCAGCATCTAACTTGACCAGGCAATTGGCAGGTGCATTCATATACATCAAATCACCATAGTCCAGCACAGTTAAAAAGGTCACAGTAACGAGCCTTTTCCTGGCCTCAAGTGAGAAACAAGACTTG